GATGAATACGGGTTAACGCTTTCCCGGGTAAGGTTTACCCTCAGGGTTCGTTGATGAATACAGCCACTGTACGCTACCTTCTAGCGAAAAGGGCATAGTGAAGATCACACGTATTACAAGCTCAATGAATGATAAATAAAAGGTGTTACCGAATAAGAACGCAAACCAAGTGAGTACCTCTGCACCGTTTGCCGAGGCACGAAAGTATCGAATTCAGCTACGGCTCATAGCAAAAATGTACGTTCAGCAATGCTTTGGATTGTTTAGTTAAAAAGGCTTACTGACGGGGCAAAAGTCTATGACAAAATTAAAAATTTCTGAGTCTCAGAGAAGATCTATGCATGGCGTCCCACTATCTAACGAAAGCGAAGGGGTTCATTTGTGATGAGCACCTTCCATCACTTGCTATTAACGCACGCGCAGCGCTTCATGATCAATTGTCCTCATTTGGGACTAGGGTTTGAAAATGACATCTACTACGCATCTGTGCCGGGCCTGCCTATCTGCGTATCATTCAAAATGGAGCATCACTCACCTCTGTTACCCAGCCATCCTTTCGTAATCGAGCTAATAGGACCTCCTTCGCCCTTTCCTTTTCACCAGAACTTGAGAACTCGAGCTCCAAGTCTTCCTTTGTCTTGATGTTGTTCATTCAAAGTCTGCAAGCCGTGTAAAGTAAATTAGTAATTCCACCTATGCGGCAGTCAGACAAATAATATGGACTTGACCAGCAAAATCAAAAACTCTAACAGATTTATAATATACAATGTGTGAACACATAGCACATCGAGCATAACAACAATGGGCAACAAAAACAGATAACAACAAGGAAATTACATAAATTTCTGACAGAAATAATGCACTATTATGTCAATAATTTAGCTTTACGATTCGCTGTCCTCTTTGCAACTCCTGCGTGTTTTCGGCCCAAATTTCTTTTCAACACTTTTCTTTTCACAGCGCTTTTCTTCGGCCTGATCTTGGCAGTCACGTTTTCACCGTCGTCATTAGCAACATTTTGAGACTCCGACTGCATCCTTCTAAGATAGCCAAGCTATATTCTTTGTAAAATGACTTGAGTCAAACAGTCTAGTCATACATACAAAGTAACTAACTTTTTCTCCAGCTTCATACGTTTTCTCTCTAGTGCAACTTCTTCATTCATCTTCTGTAACCGCTCTTCCGCTTCTTTGTAATCATTGGATGTTAGCACCTGTAGAGTGTCCAGCGTGATTCCCAATGTGTCTTGGTGACGTTTAACAAAAAGGTAAAGGGCTTAACCACATCTGCTTATGCTGTCTACTGAAATCTAGGAAAAGAAAGAAGCAAAGGAGCACAACGGGGATAATTGATCATCAAAAATGGAGGAAAGTTTGCGTGAGAAGCACCAACATTATTAGCAGTGAAGATAAACGTAAAGTTGATGCTTCCAATGATATGAAATTTAGTACTCACTATTTCCGGTACGGGAATCTCGAAACTATACGGATCACCACCTTTCGCTGCGACTTCGAATCTAGAATCGAAGATTTTCGGAAAAATCTTTATGAAATGCCGCAACAGCTACCTCTTCACCAAATCATACAGTTTTCGTCTTCGCCTGGAGATGGTCTCAGGCTTCTTCCCTACATCAAATAACATCTGTCCGAGCGCTACATAGTCGAACTGAATACCATAATTATTAATATCAATATAGACTCCCA